CTGCTAAGAGAGAACTAGTTACCACTGCTGTGGTAAACAGGCACGCTGCACACTGACTGCTAAGAGAGAACTAGTTACCGCTGCTGTGGTAAACAGGCACGCTGCACACTGACTGCTAAGACAGAACTAGTTATTGCTGCTGTGGTAAACAGACACACTGCACACTGACTGCTAAGACAGAGCTAGTTACTGCTGTGTAAACAGACACGCTGCACACTGATTGCTAAGAGAGAACTAGTTACCACTGCTGTGGTAAACAGGCACACTGCACACTGACTGCTAAGTGCATGTGCTTTTGATCACAGATTAATGCTCTCTTCACCCTTTGCCTACGCAGGTTCTGATAACTATGGAAACACCAAGAACAGGTGAGGATGGAGTGCCTGACTCAAATTGGGACATTGACATCCCTTCTTATTAGTCTCCGGGATCACTGAAGAAGAGAGGGTGGACAGAATGTAAGGGCCAGAGGAGCAGGAGGTGTGGTGCAAAGAAACATCTGAACATGATGTGGTGGTTGTACCCATGAGGTCACTACATAAGATCAACGTGAAATGAGGCATGTCAACCTCTCATCAGGGATAGGAGAGTGAGTCATCAGCTCTTCCTTGACCACACTGGCATTGTTGCTGTCCTTGTTCAACTAACATTATGCTGATGTTGGTGAGGCTTTACGGGAAAGGTCATGAATTTGAAAGAAAGTAAGGACAGGTAAGTGAGAGGATTTAGAGAGAGGAAAGGGGAAGTGGAAACAATGTCATAATCTCAATAAATAAAAGTATAAAAATGGGTATTAACTCCCAGACCAGGTTATTTAGAGTCAAATTTCAAGTTTGCTAAAGATTTTCTTACATTATTCTTATTATCACTTTATTTCTTAGAGCTTTCATCTGTAAAATAGCGATAAATTTTATATCTAAAGAATTCAATAAAGAAGAAGGGTAACTTCTTGGGAAGAAGAATTTAGCTGAAGAGAGGGAGGAATGAAAGAGAACAGTAGAGGTAACATATGACTGAAATTCACTATGTAGGTTTTAAACTCTTAAAGAATAGTTTTAAAAGTAACTGTTAGATAAATGCAATAAAATAAAGGACAAAAAGGCAATTTGATCTGTTTTTATACACTTAGTGTTAAAAATGTAGATATTAATACAATAGAAAATATGAAAGAAGATAGGAGACCATGTTGTATGGACTTTGAAGACAGACAAACCCAAGTCTGCTTCCTGTTCTGCCTCTCTGTTTACATAGTTCCTGGTACTTCCTGAATCACCGAGTCTTAGTGGTTGTGACTGTACTATATGTGTCTGGTTTCTTGTACCATGTTAATCTCTTCTCTGGAAATCTGCTGATGGAAATTCAGTTCCACAGAAAATATGATGGCATCAAGTGAAAGCTTTCATTCATCCAACCTTTCTTTAATCTCAGAATAGTACTAAAAGGCAAACTCTCAATGCATTGCTATGAGTTCCCAGCATTTACTGGTCTCTGATCACTTTATGCAATTATGAGTTTTCCAGCTGACTCCATCTAGTTTGTCCTTACACTTTAGCCGCCCACCTTTGATTTCAGGAAATGGGGTAACTTTTGGGGTCATAGTAGCAAAAGAAGAAACAAACATTTACAATGTACTTACTATAGAACGGACGTTTAAGATGCCAATTTGGTCTTACTAACAGTCAGCTGCGGTGAACGTTTGTGTAGATCTGTCTTAAACGGACATAGATGTGGGGGAAGAGCACGGGTCCTACCCAGAGTCACACAGACAATGCAGATCAACGCTGGGATTTGGTTTCTAGTAAAGTCTCCATGCCATAATGCTCTCATACAGATCTCTTGAACATGCGAATAAGTGGATGACTTGCTTAAATGTCACTTTATGTTTATTATTGTTTGCAAATGCGTGTGCTTAAGAAAGTTTTCCTTACTATGTTCCAGATATTTCTTAGACTTTTTAGAATGTCCAGATGTATAAATGATTTAAGAGTGGTTTCCCTTTTGTTTACTATTTTTTTGATTTTTAATTTTTTTTAAAAAAATGTGTGTTTATAATTTAACTACAACCATTCATTCTTTACCTTTCCCACCTCCAAGCCATTCCATATAATCCCCACTCCCTGCTCTCCTTCAAATTCATGGCCTCTTTTTTTCTTTTTTCTTAATTGTTATTGTGTGCATATATATGTATATATACACGTATTCCTAAATATAACCCATGTAGTCTGTCTAATGATACCAGGATGGATGCTTTCAGGGCTGATTGTTTAGCACTGGAATTAAGGTGGGCTGGCTCTCCCCTGTGGAAGGTCGTCTCTCCCCGTATGCTTTCCTCAACACTCACACTTCTTTTTGTAGGGTTGAGGCCTCCATCCATTTTGGCATGTTCTTCAACCGAAGTTGCTTTGACTAGTCTTGAACTTTTGGTGCACCCTTTGTTCCTAATTCTGAAGGTCTTTAAATTACCTTCCAGGAGTTCTACTTTCTCAGCTTCCGTCTGCATTCTTAGGCATCAGCATTCTTGCCTCTGCTGCTTCAGTTCCCACAACTCTACCTGCTTTTCGGACAAGCTGGTTTTTACTATACTGATCCTATAGTTTTTGCTTAAAGTGACTTATATCCTTAGAAATTTCTCACTTTCTTGCTCCATTTCCGCTACTCCTTGTGATGTGTGTGT